CCTCAGTGGTCAGTCTTGAAGAGTGATGGACCAATGGTGAGCGACTATTCGGGCACTAGCCCAATGGTTCTGGAGCTGGGAGGAGTCCTGAGGAGCTGTCCTCTCATTGATTTGAGTCCTGGAGCGTTCCACTTCCGCCCACGTGAGAAGCTGCGCCTTGTAGAGTGAAGTTGTACCTAGAGTGCGGGAGAGACCCGGAGGGATGGGGCCGGTCCCTACAGGAGCGGCTGGGGAGTCGGAGGTGGGTGAGTCTGCTGGAAAGAAGAGAGGTTCAATGTGACTTCCTCCCTGGTTGCAGGGCCGTAGATCCCAGAGCCTGACCGCTCGCCGGCATGGGACACGAGGGCGTACCCCTCTGGAGTAGTGTCTTTCCCCCGATGTTTCCAGTGTGGAGCAATGATACAATCAAGGCTCGTTAGGGCGGGTGGAGTCTGGTAGGTTTGGATAGAGGCATTGACGCCTACTGAGCTTCAGCTCTGTTCGTCAGCCTTGCACCTTGGAGCTGAAGGGATCCGTGGCTTGAACCGTTTCTCTGCCCAGGCCTTTTTTTCTTGGCTTTAGATGGAATCTTCCTCTCATGCCAGGTTCTATGCCCTCAACTGTGGTGTGGGACTGTGGAAGGGGGCAGGCCCAGGGCTACTGGGAAATGGTTTGGAATCTCTCAGATCTAAGTTTGAAACCTGTTCACAGTACAGTGCATACCAACTGTGGCCCCTTGAATGAGTCATGAGACCTCTCTCAAGTGTCCGTTTTTTTGCTAGAATGCTCGTGAGTATATACTTCTGGGCCTAATAGGTTCTAGTTTCTTGCATTATTGAGTACATAATGGGTGTTTGCTAGGGGACGTGAAACCTGGCAGGATTTGGATAGAAGCAAAAGTGAAAAGGGTATTTGAAAAGACCCAGGCCTAACCCAGCTGAAGAGGAAGTTCCACCATGCATGGCACCTAGAAATAAAAAGGGGTTTGGGCAGAGCTTAGGGCAAGGCCCTAAGGGCTTCTACCCCTGTGAGCTCCAGGCAGAGCTCTGTGCTTTTGCTTGAGGTAGACAGGGAGCCATCACCAGGAGTTTTCAGTGTAGAGCTTCCAAGTAATGATTATCCTGAGTTTTACAGAATCTTACTCCCATTCAAAAGAGGAACAAGGAGCAAGTGAAGCCTTTACCCGCTCCCTATTATGGTAGCATTTAATGCAGCAGGTTTTAGACACCTATCACTTCACACTAGTTTCTCCCTCTCACTGGCTATAGGTGATGGAGACAATTCTAGAAGGCACAGGCCAAGAAGGGAAGAAGGTGTCCTCAAAGAAATGTGTGCTGGAGGGCCTTTTGCAGCCAGTGAAGCTCAGCCCAGCAGAACTGTACAAGGAGCCCACCAATGAGGAGCTGAATCGCCTTCGGGAGACTGAGAGCCTGTTCCATTCCAGTCTGCTTCGTTTACAGGTACTGTTGGGTGGCTGGGATTTGGGTTGGGGGTGCCAGGCCTGGGGCCCTGAGGCTGTTGGACTTGACCCTTCTCCCCTCACAGGTAGAAGAGCTACTGAAGGAAGTGAGACTGTCAGAGAAGAAGAAGGAGCGCATTGATACTTTCTTACAGGAGGTCAACAAGAGGATCCTGAGGGTGCCCTCAACCCCTGAAACAGAGGTAAGGCAAGTGGCTTGAGGAATTAGGAAGCCTAGAAGAGGCCCCAGTGGGAGCATCTCATACAGGGACATGCTATTCTCTGGAGGAGTTGAGATGATAGGGAACTGATTCTCACTGCCAGAAGGCTCAGCTTGGAGAGTGGTCATTCACTTAGTCATTCATTCAAGAAGCACTTAGGTACTTGGCAACATTAATGTCTTTGGGACACATGATTGAACAAATCATTCTAGTTATACTGTTGAGGGCGGGTGGTAGACAATAGATAATAAGCATGATAAGTTATGGTAATGTTAGAAGGTGGTAAGTACTAGCTTGGGAAAAGACAAAAGTAAGACAAGGAGACTGGGAGTATCAAGGAGTGGAGGTGGTTTGCAATTTTTTTAAAAAAATGCATTTTATTGAAATATTTATGTACAGTGAGATACACAAAACTAAAGTAACATGGGTCAATGCATTTTTTTTTTTCTTTTGCAGTGTTCCTTCCCCTTCCCTTCCATCCCTGGTGACCAACAAAGAAAGTTTCCCTCCATATATAAACCTTTCCTTGACCCTCCACAGCAACAAACTAATACTGTATTTGCCCTTCTGTGATTGACTTATTTCACTCAGCATAATGTCCTCCAAGTTCATCCATATTATGCGGTGTTTCACAGACTCTGCGCTATTCTTTAGTGCTGCATAGCATTCCATTATGTGTATGTACCAAAGTTTGGTCATCTACTCTTCTGCTGATGGGTATGTAGGTTGTTTCCATCTTTTTGCTATTGTAACTAGTGTTGCAATGAACATGAGCATGCATATGTCTGTTCCTGTCCTGGCTTTCACCGCTCTAGGATACATACCTAGTAATGGGATTGCTGGGTCAAATGGTATCTACAATTCCAGATTTCTAAGGAATCGCCATATTGCTTTCCACAGTGGTTGTATCACTTCACAGTCACCAGCAGTGTATGAGAGTCCCAATTTCTCCACATCGCTGCCAGCGTTTGTTATTTTCTGTCTCGTTGAACCTTGCCATCAGTGCTGGGGTGAGACGGTATCTTGTTTTGATTTGCATCTCTCTGATGGCCAATGATTGCGGGCATCTCTTCATGTATTAGCTGGCCACCTGAATATCCTCATTGGTGAAGTGTCTATTCATGTTTTCTGCCCATTTTTCAATTGGGTTGTTAATGCCTTTGGTGTTGAAGTGTTGGAGTTTTCTATAAATCTTAGAGATAAGTCCCTTGCCAGATATGTAATTATTGGCAAATATTAATTTGTTGCTGTCATTTTTGTTAAGTGCTTTTTTGTGGTGTTGATTTCTTTGTTGCATATAATTTTCTGTGTTGAGCTTGTTTTGTTTATGAATCGTGTTATCACTTCCTTTGTTGCTATTATTTTAGTATTTGCTAAATATTTGTGCTGGTCCTCTTTTTGATTTTGAGGTGAAGGTTTATAATTTTTCTTTGAGGTTACCCTGTGATATATAGCTTTCTTCCCAAGTTTAGAACAGTCCATTCGATCTTGTAGTTGTCTTGACTTCCCCACCATCTAGAAGTTCTATAACAACACAGTTTATTTCCCTCTTTTTGGTTTGTAGTTGTCCTCATTTGTCAATTGATGTCTCTGGTTCCCTGTTTACAATCTTGTAGGCTTATTTACATTGGATACTTCCGTAGCTGGGTTGGTTCCTAGGTTATATCATCATGTGTGTTAATGGTCAGTTGTTGTTGGCTATTGTTGCTTCTCTGTTCAAAGGGCTTCCTTTAGCATCTCTTGTAAGGTTGATCTGGTTTTAACAAATTCCCTTAATTTCTGCTTATCTGGAAATGTCCTAATTTCACCATCATATTTGAGGGACAATTTTGCTGGGTACATAATTCTTGGTTGGAAGTTTTTCTTTTTCAGTGTTTATATACCATCTCCTTGTCTTCTCGCCTGCATGGTTTCTGTCGAGAAATTCGAGATTAGTCTTATTGGTTGCCCCCTGTAGATAACTTTTTGTTTTTCCCACGCTGCTCTCATGATTCTTTGTCTTTGGTTTTGGTAAATTTGATAATGATATGTCTTGGTGATTTTCTTTTGGGGTCTAGCCTGTTTGGGGTTCGTTGGACTTCCTGAATGGATATATTCTCATCTTTCATCATACCAGGAAAATTCTCTTCCAACAAATCTTTGACAGTTTTCTCTGTGGTTTTGTCTTTCTCATTCTGTTCTGGAATTCCAATGACACATAGGTTATTCCTTTGATGGTATCCCACATGAACTTTAGGCTTTCTTCATTTTGTTTTGATCTTTTTTCTGATTGATCCCTTTCCAAAGAAGTGTTCAGATATTTGCCCTCAATCTCTCTAATTCTGTCTTGCATTGATTCAGTTCTGCTCCTTTGCCCATTCAATGTCTTATCTATTTCTAGAAATTCAGTATTAATCTTCTGGATTTCTGGTGTAGATTTTGTATAATTTCTAATTTTTCATTCATTTTTTCATTTTGTTCTTGTATTGTCTTTAGAAATTGTTGTAGGGTTTTGTCTGTTTTTTCCTCAATTTTGTCAGTGTTTTCCTTGATCTGTCTCTCAATTTGTTGAAGATACCTAAATATAATTCTTTTGAATTCCTTATCAGGGAGTTCCACTGCTGCATCTTCCTCAGGGATGTGTTTTAGGTCTGTATCCTGGTCCCTTGTTTTTCCTGCTTTATCTTGCTGCTTTGTGTGGACTGTGAAGCTCTGTTGTCTCCAAGGCATTGTGATGTTTTCTGTTTATATTTAATTGGTAATTGTATATTGGAGTGACTTGCCCATGATTTTCATTTTCTTTATATGTTATCTACACAAGCAGGGTACTGTGGTGTGCTCCTCTATTCACTAGTTGACAGCACTTACACACGCACCACCTGTCTCCTTTCCTGTTTTCAGCCTCTTGCATGTCCCTGCCGACCTTGGCAAACAGAGCCTATTCTTAGGTCCCTGGAATCCGAATGAGAATGCTCTCACCTTAAATATCCAAAATGACCACCACTTATAAACATTCAGAATGGCTGTGCCCTCGGGCACTTTAAATATCCAAAATGGCTGCACCTTCTGGACAGCAGAAAGTCAACAGCTCAGGTTGTCTCCCTCCTTGCTGTTTCCGTTCCTACTCATAGGCCACCAGCAAAGTCATCCCTGCAGCCCTTGGTGGCCAGAGCTGATCAATTCTCAAGTCCCAGCACCACTTGGAAATATTCAGGCTGTTGGTCCCGTCAGAGTAGCTGACAGTCCGCAGCTCCGACTATCTCTGTACTCACTGTTTTTGTTCAGGTTTTTCCACTGGTTGGTGCCTAATCCAATTCTGATAGTTCCATTCAAAGCTCAGGGCTCCAGGATTATCTTCTGGATCTCTGTCAAGTGGTTTTTCTTTTCTTTGTTGGAGAGGGTCTGTGTTGCTTGTCTGCCTATTCCTCCATGTTACCGGAAGTCTGGTTTGCAATTTTTAAATAGAGTGGTCAGGATAGGCTTTTGAAGACATTTGTGTGAATCTTGTCCAGAGCCTGGCCTGTTCTTTGCAGTGAATGAGGGAGAGCTGGAAAGAGATGCATTCAGAAAGGCAGTAGGGAAAGAGGCATATCATGCAAAAGCTTTATATACAAAAATCAGAATTTTGGCTGTTGCTCTGAATGAAATGGGGGGCCACTGCAGAGGTTTTTTGGAGATGAGGGGAAGTGATCTAACTTGAGTTCTAAAAAGTTCACTCAGGCTGTTGAAAGTAGGATGGAAAGGGACAAAGGTGAAATCAAGGAGACTAGTTAGGAATCCATTGTAGTGATCAACTGAAAAAATGGTGGTCACTCAGATTAGGGTGGAAAATGGGAAAGTGGCCTGTCTCTGGGTACAATTTGAAGGTAGAAATGGGCATTTTAACAGAGATATGTCAAGGTGATTGAAATGTTTTTGTCTTGAGCAACTACTGTTGAATTACCTTAGGTGAAATGGAGAAAGCATGTTTGGGGAAAGGCAGTTGAATCTATACCTGTCATTGTCTCTGTTCCCACAGCTGACAGACCAAGCATGGCTCCCGGCTGGGGTTCGAGTACCCCTCCACCAAGTGCCTTTTACTGTGAAGGGCTGTTTTCACTTCTTGCCCCCGGTCCGGGTCACTATTGTAGGCAGCTACCTTCTGGACACCTGCATCCGGCCGGACATCAATGTGGATATGGCACTGATCATGCCCAGGGTGAGGCCCAGGGTTCGGGGCTGGTGAGGCCTGTCAGTTTTACCACCTAAAATCCCTGGGGCCCTTCCTCTATCCCATCTTCCACTGGCCAGGGTGTTGATATCTGAATTCTAAATCAAAAGAGCAGACCATTGCAGTCATTCTGAGGGCAGCTTAGCTGTGCCCTTGGGCCAGTTTGTGCCCCTTTGGAACTTTGCCTTCCTCATCCGAGAACTGAGTAGAGTGTTGCTGCCCCTGTCTCAGGTACTCCGGCCTCGTTTTGCCAGGCTGGGGTTCTCACTGTGTCTTCATCTTTGCCCTCAAGCTCTGTAACACCTCCCAGTCATCTCTTCCCTTCTCTGACTCCTCCAGGAGATCCTACAGGACAAAGATGCGCTTAACCACCGCTACTTCCGTAAACGTGCCCTCTTCCTGGCTCACTTGGCTCACCACCTGGCCCAGGACCCTCTCTTTGGCAGCGTTCGCTTCTCCTACAACAATGGCTGCCACTTGAAACCCTCATTGCTGCTTCGGCCGCATGGTAAGAAGTTCACACAGGGCTGGGGGCACAGCATGGGTGACAAGTCCAGTCAGGGAGGCATAGGGGCTTTGACTTCAGAGGAGTATTCACAGGGGCCTCAAGTTTAAAGAGGGAGTTGTGGGGACCCCTTTTGCTCAAAATGTCAGCAGGGTCTTAGTACACCCTATATATTCCAAAGGAGCCCTGGTGGTGTAGTGCCTAAGGCAAATGACTACTGAGCAGAAGGTTGATGGTTCAAACCCACCAGCCACTCAGCAGAAGGAAGACTGGGGAATCTACTCTCATAAAGATTTACCACCTCAGAAACCCAATGGGGGTCACTATGAGTCGGGATCAACTCGATGGGAGTGAGTTTGATTTTTGGGTTGGTATCCTCTCAGGGAAGGATGAGCGTCTGGTCACTGTACGTCTGCATCCGTGCCCCCCACCTGACTTTTTCCGCCCATGCCGCCTGCTGCCAACCAAGAACAATGTGCGCTCTGCCTGGTACCGAGGGCAGAATCCTCCAGGGGATGGTGAGCAGGCACTGGTGTCAAGGTAGAGCTGGAGGGAAGTAGTGTCATGGAGACTTCTCTCCTCATGTCTTGCCCTTGGTTCCCACAGGGAGCCCAGAGCCCCCGACGCCCCATTACAACACGTGGATCCTGCAGGATATGGCCCTTGAGTCCCATGTGCAGCTGTTATCAGCTATGCTGGGCTCAGCGTCAGGGCTAAAAGATGGCGTGGCTCTTCTGAAGGTCTGGCTGCGGCAGCGGGAGCTGGACAAGGTACGTTGAGATAGCCCAGCCTCACTGCCACGCTGAGTGGTGGGCTGGCCCTGAGCTCAAGTCTCTCCCTCCATGTCTTTCAGGGCCTGGGTGGGTTCAGCGGGTTCCTGGTCTCCATGCTGGTTACCTTCCTTGTGTCCACACGTAAGATCCATACCACCATGAGCGGCTACCAGGTCCTGAGAAGTGTCTTGCAGTTTCTAGGTGAGGCAGCTAAACTGGGAAAGGCCGGGGATGCCACTCCTCCTCTCATCCCAATAGGGATTGGTTTGCTCCTTGACATCAGACAGATGAGCAAACCAAACCCCAGAGATACAGCATTTTAAAGGAACTAGGGCTGAGGGAGAGTGTCCTTTGGGCTCTGTCCCCAAGGATGGTGTCACCTCCTGACACACCTACCTTCCCTGGTTCACTCCAGCTACCACAGATCTGACAGTCAACGGGATCAGTTTATGTCTCAGCTCAGATCCCTCTTTGGTGAGTTGGGGCAGGGTTGAGTCTGAGTGAGGGGACCTGAAGATAAGTCTCCAACCCTGATTGGTTTCACTCTGCTGTTCCTTCCCTTGCCCCCAGCCTGCCCTGGCTGATTTCCACCAGGCCTTCTCTGTTGTCTTCCTGGACTCCTCAGGTCGTCTCAATCTCTGTGCTGATGTCACTGCCTCTACTTACCACCAGGTAATGATGGGTTCCTCCTTGGTTTCTTAAATACCCCAGCCCTATGAGTCGGAATCAACTCGATGGCAGTGACTGGACTTTGTCTTTTCTGGTTTTACCATAATCTCAGAACCTCCTCCGAAAAGATCTCAGGGCAGGCACATTTCCTGGTGTGACCCCTTGGGTCAACAAAGGGATACAGTGGTGCCAGTTTCACATCTGAGTTCCCTCCTGACCCTGTGGCCCCAGGTGCAGCATGAGGCACGGCTGTCCATGGTGTTATTGGACAGCAAAGCTGATGACGGGTTCCAGCTACTGTTGATGACTCCCAAACCCATGATCCGGGCTTTTGACCATATCCTGCAGTGAGTTTAGGGGTGACAGGGTATGTTGGTGGGTCCTCTTTCCCTAGGGTTAATGTGATCTGGCAGAGCCCTCTGGCAGGCACTCAGGCCTTCCTGGGAATGAGAGTGGGACTTGGGATCCACAGGCCTGATTGTTCCTCTTTGTCTTTCTCTACGCTCCTAGTCTCCGCCCACTGAGCTGCCTCCAGGCAGCATGTCACCGATTGAAGCTGTGGCCTGAATTGCAAGACCATGGTGGGGATTATGTCTCAGCTGCTTTGGGCCCACTAACCACTCTCCTGGAGCAGGGCTTGGAGTCCCGGGTGCACCTCCTGGCCCATTCTCGACCCTCAGTCCCAGAGGTGAGGTGGTATGGGTTGGGTGAATGTGTGGGAGAGTGGGACTGGATCCAGGGCTCAGGGGACACAATTGACATACCATCCCTCTAGCTAGAAAGGAATGTGTGGGAGGGGGCAAGTTTGGGAACTCCTGAGTTGGGTTCAGCTTCTCTTCACCCTACAGTGGGAAATCAGCCAGGATCCACCGAAGCACAGACACTCCAGGGCCGTGACCCTGGGATTGCTCCTCCGGCCTGAGGGGCTGACCAGTGTCCTTGAGATGGGTCCAGAGGCCGACCAGCCAAAGGTGAGGAACTCTGGGATATGGGGGGGTGACTTGGCTCTGTCTTGGGAAGTCCAGCAAGTGTAATGGAAAGAATGGGTTGGGTGGTCTTCATGCCACTTGGATTGAGGCTTGTCAGGGAGAGTTCTGACAGAGTTCTTTTTTGGTCTCCACTCCAACCCACCCCTTGTCTCTCCTCAGGCTGCTGATTTCCGCCAGTTCTGGGGATACCGCTCAGAGCTGCGACGTTTTCAAGATGGAGCCATTCGGGAAGCTGTGGTCTGGGAGGCAGGCTCTATGGCCCAGAAGCGCCTTATTCCCCAGCAGGTGGTCACCCATCTCCTTGCGCTGTGAGTGTAAACATCTTATTTCTGGGAGGCAGCCGGTGGTGGGGAGCCTTTTACTAGGATCTAACCCAGGCTCTTGGGGGTAAAGAGATCATCTTCTGCTGGGATATAGTCCTAACTGTGCCTGTGTGTCTCTCTCTCTAGCCATGCAGACATCCCAGACACCTGTATCCACTATGTGGGGGGCTTCCTAGATGCACTGATCCAAGGTCTGAAGGAGGTAAGGGCCCTAGACTGGGGTAGGGTTAATAATTGTAGAGTGTTTGTAGACTGCAAGTGCAGTGGGATTGGTAGCGCAGAAAGAGCCCTCACCATCTCAGTGGCACCTTGGCTGGCCCAGGTCAGGCTGCACCTCTTCAAGTGTCCAGCAGAGGGGGCACTGGCTTTTCTGCTGAGCCACTGTAGAATCCCAGGTGGTGCTAGGTTCTATAAGGTCCTGGCTTCCTGACTGTCTTCTCCCCCTCAGACCTCCAGCACAGGGGAGGAGGCCCTGGCAGCTGCAGTGCGTTGCTATGACGACCTCAGCCATCTGTTGTGGGGGCTGGAGGGCCTCCCACTGACTGTGTCTGCTGTTCAGGGAGTTCACCCCGTGCTGCGCTACACTGAGGTAAGATGCTGAGGGTCAGGTGACCTCTCCTCTCTGTTGGTGACCCCCAGCTCTGCTCCAGTCACCTGGCATTCCTCCTTTTAACTCTTGGCTATGGGCACTGTCTCCGAGACCTAGGCTGCTTCCTCAGCCTACCTTCTTCCATAGGTATTTCCGCCAACCCCCATCTGGCCAGCCTACTCCTCCTATGAGCGCCTGCGAGAGCAGGCCTCGCTGGTGCCCAGACCCAACAAGCCCTGCCCAGCCTATGTGGAGCCCATGACTGGTGAGGGGGCTCTTGGGAGGGCATGGGAGTCAGTGGGAGGGGCAGCACCCACTTGACTGCAATCAGAGACTGACCTGTCTCTCCTCTAGTGGTATGTCACCTAGAGGGCAGTGGTCAGTGGCCACAGGATGCTGAGGCTGTGCAACGGGTCCGAGCTGCCTTCCAGCTACGTCTGGCAGAGATACTGACACAACAGCATGGGCTGCAGTGTCGTGCCACTGCCACACACACTGATGTTCTCAAGGTTAGCATGATGCAAGCCAAGGATACCCAGGGAAGGATGGTGACAGCAGGGCACTGGTGAGGATAGCCCTGTGACACCAGACTGGGGGGGGGGGGGATGCAGGCCACAGAGCACTCCCAGGCCCCAGGCTTACATTACTCCCCATCCCCATACTCCCTCCCAACAGGATGGATTTGTGTTCCGGGTGCGTGTGGCCTATCAGCGGGAGCCCCAGATCCTGAGGGAGATGTGGACCCCAGAGGGGATGATCTCATTGAGGGACACAACTGCCTCCCTCCGACTTGAGAGGGACACAAAGCAGTTGCCCCTGCTCACCAGTGCCCTGCATGGGTATGGCCACCTACACAGGCTCTCCCTGTCTGGATGCTCTGCCCACCCCCATGTTCTTTCCTGGCTGTCTGTTCCTCTGGGAGGCCAAACAATGTCATGGTCAGGGATAAGAGTCCTGGAGTCAGGCAAGATCTGGAGTCTCACCAGTTACTGATTCACCCTTTACTGGATGTGTCCCTTTGGTCAGATTCTCATCTGGAACTTGTTTTCCTCATCTGTAAAATAGCAGTAATGACAGGACCAATCTCTTGTGTCTTGTGTCAAGAGGACATGAGATTATGCATGTAGAGCATTAGTTCAGGGGCTAGCACTGGGCAAGAGTTGAATGAACAGTTGCATTGGCACTGACACTCTGTTGCTGGGTTCTGGCTGCCTGGGCCTCGTGTCACTCTCCTCTTTTCCCCCTAGACTCCAAAAGCAGCACCCAGCCTTCTCAGGAGTGGCTCGGCTGGCCAAGCGGTGGGTACGTGCCCAGCTTCTGGGTGAGGGATTCTCCGACGAGAGCCTGGACCTGGTGGCCGCTGCCCTCTTCCTGCATCCTGAGCCCTTCTCCCCACCCAGGTGATTTCCTCTGCCCTTTCCCCAGTAGGGAAGTTCCCTTTGGGGCCTTCATACCTCAAACTGCGTCTTTAGTCTAGATGGTGGAGGGTAGCAGAAGCTAGTGACAGAAGAGGGGTTCCAAGATTCTTCCCTCCTGGTCCGCACTAAGGGATCTGGGCTCCCTAGGTTGTAACTGATAAGAGAAGATGGGAATAAGCCAGGCCCTAGGCTTGGTGCTTACTCCCTGCCCTCAGCTCCCCCCAGGTTGGCTTCCTTCGGTTCCTCTACTTGGTGTCAACCTTCGATTGGAAGAACAACCCCCTCGTTGTCAACCTCAACGATGACCTCACTGGTGAGTGGTAGGATTGAATAAGACTGAGAGAAGAATTACCCTTTACGGACTGCAGAATGAGCCAGGTGAAGGTTTTCCCTGCCAGTCTATTAGGTTTTCTCTGCTTCTTCCGTCTCAGATATCTCAGCCTGGCCCTTGGGGTAGAGAGTTGTCAGAAGGCTCAAGTTAAGCTTTCGGGGAGCTCGTGAACTGTAGATAGGTGATTTGCCCACATGATGGGTAGAAACAGGATGGACTGGGGGTAGTTAACAAGCTATATTTGGAGCTGTGGAGGGGAGAGGAGAGCAGAATGAGAACTCTGAACACTAGATAAGTGTTATGGTGGGGAGCAGGGAAGGGCCTGGATTAGAACAGATGCCTAGACCTCTCGGGGGGTGGGGATGGCAATTTCCGGTTGTAACATAAGGAGTTCCTGGTGCCAGCAGAGAGCAAGGTGTCACCTTCCTAATTCCCCAGGTATGTGGGGTACAGGGGAGAGGGGGCTAGGGGCAGGCCTCAGCTTGTGCAGTCCCGGAAACCAGAAAGGGTGTGTCTGGCAGTGGAAAATTCTGCTTCTGGGCTGAGGCTGGCAGATTAATGCCCGTCCCCCACCCCATATGAGGCAAATGCAGTGTCCCTTTTCTCACCTTGGCCACTTGCAACAGGGGCTTTAGAAAATCCCTTTGAGGGGCAGTTATTGCGTGAGCAGTAGGAGGATCTGGGCAGCAGAGGGTATCTGGGGGAGGGGTAGGCTGACCTGGGATTTCCTCCCTTGTCCCCAGCGGAGGAGCAGGTAGAGATTCGCAGTGGCTTCCTGGCAGCTCGGGCACAACTCCCCGTCATGGTCATCATTACCCCCCAGGACCGCAAGAGCTCTGTGTGGACACAGGATGGACCCACAGCCCAGGTTCAAGCCCATCCCTGCCCCCAAATGTGTGGTTTCTGCCCCCAGGGAAAAAGCAGGCCCTGCCTGTGCTAAGAGAGACCCATGGTCAGGTCTGGTTTGATATTCCTCTACACCCTAGATCCTACAGCAGCTTGTGGTCCTGGCAGCTGAGGCCCTACCCATTCTAGAGAAGCAGCTGATGGATCCCTGGGGGCCTGGGGATATCAGGGTAAGCCCTTGATCAAGAGTGACTCTAGGACTCTGGGGGTTTTTCCTTTAAACTCTAGGAGTCTAGAGCTCAAGGGGGCTCTCCCAGATGCCCCATCCCATTTTGGTGCCCATCCAGAGAAGGCAGTGGTAAAGCCTGGAGGAGAACTTGGGCCAGTGGTTCCATCCAGGCCTCATGCTTCTAGCTTGTGTTCCTTCTGTTGGACCCGTGTTTGTACCAGATGCTTGGTCTGTGGGTCTTAGTATTCCTGCATGTGGGCCTATGATAAATGGTTAACAAAGGGGACAGAGGGAAGTATGGGGAGAGGTTTATGGTTCTGTTCCCAACCCCAAGTGGGCATATCTAACCCCTCTCCACCCTTTTTCAGACAGTGTTCCGGCCACCTTTAGACATGTATGATGTGCTAATCCGTCTGTGTCCCCGCCACATCCCCCGGCACCGCCAGGCCGTGGACTCGCCAGCTGCCTCCTTCTGCCGTGGCCTGTTCAGTGAGCCCCGGCCCTCTCCCTTGATGCCCGTGCTGGGCTATGACCCTCCCCAGCTCTATCTGGCACAGCTCAGGGTAGGTCCTAAAGGGCTGGCTGACCTGGAGAGGAGACTTCCCGGAGGAGCTAGGACCATGGAGGTGATGCTGAGGTGCCTACTTGCAGTCTTGTCTCTGTCCTGGTCCCTCTAGGAGGCCTTTGGGGATCTAGCCCTTTTCTTCTATGACCAGCATGGTGGAGAGGTGATTGGTGTCCTCTGGAAGCCTACTAGCTTCCAGCCCCAGCCCTTCAAGGTATGCTGGCTAGTGACTGCCATGTGTTCCTGAGTGTACACGTGCTTCTGTGTGAGCTTGCGTGTCTGTGTGGTCTATTTCATAAATGATCTTGTGTCAGGTGTGAGGCATATGGGCTTTTGTGTGTCTGTCTCTGCACCCTCACCCTGCCCCCAGCCTAGTATCTCTGATTGTGCCGTTGTGACACCCTACCCACATTTCTCTGATTTCTCCAGGCCTCCAACACAAAGGGACGCATGGTGGTGGCTCAAGGTGGGGAGCTGGTGATGGTCCCCAATGTGGAAGCAATCCTAGAGGACTTTGCTGTGCTGGGCAAAGGCCTGGTGCAGTCTGTGGAGGCCCGGAGTGAGAGGTGGACTGTGTAAATTCTAATGCCGGGAGCAAGCTGTGGGTGAACATCAGGGCCTCAGACCTCTGGAGCAAGATGTCAATGGAGTAACTTTCACTTTCACTGCATATGGACCCTCCGTGGAGGGCCTGTTGCCCTGAACACATGGAATTGTTCCCCTCAAAATTCCTGTCCCAGTTTTCTGTCTGATTCCTCAGGGGTCTGCTCCAGTATTGGGGCAGGAGCCATAGTGTCCTATGGAGTCCCCTAGGCCCACAGTCCCAACCTCCAGAAGAGGAGTGGGAACTCTTAGGAAGATAGTAGAACCCGGGAGATCCATCCACCTGCAGTTTGGGGCCTGACCACTATTTTCTTCACATAGACTCTTCTAGAAGCTATGTGCCCAGGGCTGAGACTGCTCCCTTCGCACTGCTCAATGGGCACTTAAACTTCAGGGTGCCCTTGAAGCAGTATCAGGCCTTTAAATGGGGCCCAGAGGGTGGGGATGGCCAAAAAGACCAAAGGACAGGAAGGAGCTGAGTGAGCAAGGGGAGCTTGTGATCTTGGTTGCTTGGGCCCCTCAGTCTAGGAAAGAGATGGACACAGTACTTCTGGGACCTCTCAGCCGCTGCAGCTCTGTGCATTTACCCCTGACACTTTGTCCTCTGCTGTTACAGACTGTCCTACTTCTCACCTGTCATAGGCTGCAGAGGTAAATTCCCAATGCCAGGGAGAGGGGCTGCTTCCTGTCAGCCTGGTCCATACCCACCTGCCAGCAGCCTCTCCCTGCACCTCTGTCTCCCCTAATCCTGGCTGTTTTTCCAGACTCAGCTCAAATGGTGCCTTGCCCTCAGCCTGAGGTGATCTTCCCTTCTCTGAGCTGTTAGGGCAATTACTGTCTGTTTGGTTCATGCAATCATGGATAGCGCAAGCTCATTGTCATCTTGAGCATCAATGTAAAATTAAATCGCTTCATTTTCCCTGAGTTCCTGGCTTTGCCTCCCTTTTTCACATGGTTTTAACCTTGTCTCATATATGTAAACTCCTTGTGGGCAGGAAACATATTTGGACATAGATTTCTTGGTGTTTTTCATGGCACCCAGTACGGTGCTTTGCTCAAGTAGAATACAGGTATGTGTGGAAGGGGCATCTATCCCAGGCAGATGAAGGGCTGGGATGCCACTGGAAGACTTCAAAGAAAAGGATTCAGTTTGCCTATTCTCCCTAGAACGGGTAGAGGGTGATGGTGAAAGATAAGCCCGAGAGATAATAAAAAGTTCACATTTATTGAGTGCCAACTAGGCTATCAAACATATTTCACTGGTGTAAATGTGATCATATAATCATTACCACCCTCTGTAGTAAGTGCTTCTAGTCAACCTCATTTTCCCAGCAAGGGGAACCATCTCAGCAGCTCCTTAGGGAGGGATTTTGATTTCCTGGCTGTGGTAGTTCAGTTTGTGTGTCAACTTGGCTGGGCCTGGTTGAGTGGCTGGGCAGCTGGATATAGTATTCCCCATATGAGACTGGTAATCAACTCCAAGGTGGAACCTACTGTGAGCAGCTGAGTAGCTGCCTTTGGGTATGTGGTCTGCATCCTGTATATAAACAGAAGCCTTGGGGAATGGTCTCTAGCTTACCGCACGCTTGGACCCTGCCTGTAGCTGTGTCGTTCAGCAGCCTGCCATGCTCTGCCGACTTTGGGACTTACAATGGACTTAAATTAATGGCCTGCCGTGTGGTTTGGTAACATTAAGACTGTGCCATTTTGTCGACCTTGGGCTTGTTAGCCTCAGCAGCCAGTAGCTGCCGGAGTGAAGAGATGTCTCTAACTTCAGTGAGCCAGGAGCAAGAAGCAGAGCTGAAGCCCAAGGTTGAGGGGCTTTCACCCAGCCCCTAGAGCCTGGCACTTTGAACTTGGACATCTAGCCTCCCGAACTGTAAGAGAATAAACTCCTGTTTGTTCAAGCATCCCGTTTGTGGTATATTCTTGTCTGAATGGTACTAGGTAACCACAACACTGGCTTTTGAGCTTCCTCATCAAAATGAGGAGAAGCCGTGTGGGAACTCTAGCGTCCAATTTTGTCTCAATTCTTTTAAACCAAAACTGCACCAAAACTATTGCTGTCGAATCAAGTCTTACCCATTACAACCCTATAGTACAGAGTAGAACTTCCCCAAGAGGTTCCCAAGGCTGTAAATCTTCATGGAAGCAGACTGCCTCATCTTTCTCCAGAGCAGCTGGTGGGTTCAAACTGCCAAAGTTTTGGTTAGCAGCTGAATGCTTTAAGCTCTGTTCCACCAGAGCTTCTCATTTTGTTAGTTCTTGTGAATCTATGCCAGTCCTCACATGTCATCATGGGACAATTCAGCCCATAGTTGAAATTGGCTGTGTGAACCAGAGTCTACACTCATGAACTCCAAGTACTAGCGTGCCAGGCTTTATTTGCAGTGGAAGAAACCTAATCCTAGTCTCATGGAGCCCCACAGTCCATGGATTTCTGGCTCTTCTACCTTCTTTTTTCTTGGTCCCTCGTTCTCCACAGTCCCTTCATTTGTGTAGGCTTTGGGGAGGGACAAGATTTGCTGGCTGGTTTTAAATAATTGTGTTTCATCCCCAGGTCGGGGATCTCTGGTGGCATAGTGCCTAAAGCATTTGACTGCTAACTAGAAGGCTGGCGGTTCAGACCCACCAGCCACTCCTCAGAAGGAAGGTTGGGCAATCTACTTCCACAGTGATACCACCTCAGAAACCTAAGGAGGGGTTGTTTTGGGTCACATCCAACTCCACGGCTTTTTTTTTTTTTTTGCCCCAGGTCAAGTGCAGAATAATTGCCTTGGGCCCTTTCACAAAACTGGCACTGAATTATCCCTGGGGCTGGGGTGGAATCTGCCCCTAGGCAGGACTCCGCAGCATGTGATGGCACTAATGCCAAGTGGAATGAGCCTGGGCCCTGCTATCATCTCCCTATGTGGCCCTGGGCCAATTGCTTCCCCTTGCTGGACTCAGTCTCCCCACCTATGAAATGGGCATGATGATGGCATTGTCAGGCACCCAGCACCTATGTGACAAGGGAAGAGGTCCAAGATCTCAGAAGCCTGAGTTGCTGCACCATCCATTCCTGCCCTTCCTCTTCTTCCAGCTTGATGGGGGTCAGGGTGAGTGTGGGGAGAGGTTATTTCTCTTTCTAAGGCTCTTTAAAGGCTTTTGAAATCAATCCAGGAAGCCCAGGCTCTTCTACCTTCCATCCTTCCCATTGCAGCCCCCAGCTGTTTTCTCATATTTTCTCTGGAAGTAGGTAAGGATGCTGGTGTGGCCTGAGATGACTCTGCTCGGGGCTCCTTTGCCCTAGGATGACTCCTTTGTGGCCACTCAGGCTTCAGGGGAGCAGGGCAACGCTGGAACCTTAGAAGGAGGAGTGGAGAGAAAGATCTTAAGTATGAGCAAGTGTGTGTCCACAATGGTGAGTCAGCATCTGGGGGCCTCTGCATTTACCTCTGTGTGTGGACATGGATGGGTGGGTGTCTGCATGATTTGTGCACTCTGTGTTGGGACATGCACCCATCTGTGTGCACTAATCTTTGTGTGTGGGTTTTGCCTGTAGCTCCTGGTTGTTATAAATGGGAAAATCTGCAGTTATTGGACAGTAGGCCAGGAGAAAAAAAGCTCTCAGGTAGGAGTCAAGAACCCTGGATTCCTTCCTGTACCTTTAAATAAACCCTTCCCCTTCCTGGGCCTGTTTCCCTAGTTCTGACTGACCTGAGCTTCTCTATGAAGTTACAGTCAGTGAACTCTTGAAAGATCCTCTCTTTGGGCTGTGGCATCAGATAACTACCTTGAAACCAGTGTCCTCTTAGCTGAAAATCCCATATTCCTTTGCCCCTCTCCTTTGGAGAAAAAATTCAGAACCCCAAAGCCTAAGGTGCTTGCAGCAGGTTACATTCAACAAAATCCTGAGGGCTGCTCAGTCCCTGAGCTATTAAGTCAGATTTGAGCTAGGTTGACCCCTGCTCTGATACACATGTAGGCACACCCTCACTCCTACTCCCACCTCCCCACCCTGGCCAACATCCAGCATGACATCCGGTAGGTCCTTGCTTTGTGAGTCACAGATTAATCCCAGGTAAACTGATAAGGGCAAGGGGGATGCCTAGGGCACGTGAGTCACCCCCGCCCTCCACAGGAAAGGCCACTCTGCTCATTGCTCCCTGTTGCAGACAGAGGAAGAAGAAGGCAGCATCTCAGAGGGTTCCCAAGGAACTAAGGGGGACCAAGAAGAGGGTTGTTCCCAGGGAAAGATATACTTTCCCTCATCCTCTTAATTAACAAGAATAACTTCAGCTTCTGGGAGATGGGTGAGGAGGATAATTTTCGTGGTTTACATGGGCCCAGAGAGGTGTAGGAACTTGTCCAAGGTCACACAGGAAGTTAGGGGTGGAGCAACAGAGCAACTAGCTGTCCTGGCCCCAGACAAGCCACCTGCTGCTGAGCCTGGGCTCTCCTGGGATCCAGGAGTGGGATAAGGAAAAAGAAAGAACTAGAGAGGTCTGAAGGAGCTCTGATAGCATAGTGCCTAAGGCACTTGACTGCTAACCAGAAGGCTGGTGGTTCAAACCCACAAGCTACTCCTCGGAAGGAAGATGGGGCAATCTACTTTGGTAGTGATACTGCCTCGGGAAACCCAAGGAGGGGTCACTATGAGTCGGGTCCGACTCGACAGCACATAATGACAACAGCAGAGAGGTCTGAGCTCCACATCCCTCCAATAGGGAAGACATGGGGAAGAAACCCTTGGCCCTTTGCCCCCTCCCTCTGCCCAGGATCCAGAGGACCAGGGACGAGGGTAGGGGTGGGAGTGTGAGTGCACCTGTCCACCTTAGCTCAAGCCTAAATCTTCTGTCCTCTGGCCTGGAAGCTCCCCAAAGCAATACCCAGCTCTCCTCTTTTTTCCCAGACTGGAAATCTCCATAGGACAGGGCTTGAGTCCCCCAAAGAATGCAGAGTCAAGGTTGGGTCCTGATTCAGAGGGCAGGGGATGTTGAGATCCAGCCCCTGTTCCACTTGTTGACCAATGGTTTAGATGAAAAAGTCAGATAGGGAATCCTGCCTGGCCTTTCCCCATTTCCTCCACAACACCCCCACTTCTATCTCCCAACTAATGGGGTCTCCCTGGAGCGCAATTCCCACTGGTTCAGGAAGTCACTTCTGAAGCAGCCTGTCCCTTACCTCGGATCCTTCCCCCTCTGACTCCTTTCCCCTAGGGCTGGTAGCTGGTGGCTGCCCTATAATTAGCAGGCAGACTGGGCTGGAGTGAAGAGAGAGTATACTGAAGCTCACACATACCC